GAGACAAACACTAACTTTTAAATTTTGAATGTATTCGGAGCACTCTGTAGGTCCGAGTAAAATCTAGAACTTTAAACTCGTTTTTTTCGAAATAATAAAAACTGCACTTATGCGCCTTGTCTTCCAAGCCCCTCTATTAGAGAGACTGCTGCTATTTTGATGGTTATTTCACTGAAATTCCTCTCAAGTGATCATTAGACTTGCCTCCAAAGTTCCAATTATGCGATTTTATCTCTTACAATATGAAAGTAAATAGTAGGTGTGAATATTTTTGAGTGTCTTCCAAAAATTCAAGCACAAGCAGAAATTTAGAAACATCAGGATGAGTTTGCGCATCTTCTTACTTTGGTCATCTATGCACGATTGAACTGTGCCTTTGCAGCGCGGCAATCTGACTAGAATGCCTGGAAAGGAAGTGGACTTGTCTACTTTGGTCGTTCTGAATCATGGGTCGCTAGACCCTTGCAATGCTGCCGTGCTAAGGAAGAACGCCGTATGAGCTTTCAGACGTTGCCAAGTTTCCTCCGATAAAAACCGAATTTACTGGGAAAATTTCAAATATTATTTTCTAAAATTTCCAAACAATTTTGTACGCAATTTAATGAAAGATGTCTGATAATTTCAAAGAAAAATATTCATGAATATTGTCAAAAATACACTTTCATCAAGGGAAATTTGGCAACTCTCGAATGTTCATACGGCGTTCTTCCTTAGCACGGCAGAATGGTAAGGCAATATAAAGTAATCTCGACAGTTGTTTGCGCTGGGGATCATCTTATTCATCGGAATTCTCGTTCATTACCACCGCGGCAACATTGTTTTTCCTGCACTCAAATCCATTGAAAATATCGATTCTAAGTGATGTAAGTTGCATCGCTAAAAATCGATTGTTTTACATACATTTAAATGGAGGAAGAATAGTGTTGCCAACTTTCAAGAATCGACATAGGGGCGTAACTAAACTTTTAGATATGAGTCCACGAAAGCATTGAGTTATGTGGTTGACAGGGTTCGTCGCGAGGTGTTGCGACGTCTCAATGTTGGAAGGGTGACAACTAAGCAGGCCTTCCTTTTCTCGCAACCCGTAAACAGCCCTAAATTTCCCTCTCTACAAAATTGTAAAAATGACTCTTGAATATCATCGAAATTTGATTTTTTTTTTTATGGTTATCATTGTTTAAAAGGCATGGTACCTGAGACACAGAGTCCTGTTCTAAACGAAGCACCAAAAAATAAGTGCAACCTTCACTGCAGCCTCGTTTCTGACGAAGTATACTACTTCATTGTCAAAAATCTTTCTACTTCCTAAAAATATTTCGTTTCGCACTAAAAAAGTGGACTCTATAAGGCTTAATAGCCCCTATAAAAGTTACCCTTTTTCTCTAGAATCCAGGAAATTCATTATAAAATGGTTTTAATGCAGCTTTGTCTATAAAAAAACCTCGGTAAATACATTTCGGTTTTAAAAGTTGGTCTTAGCGACACGGTCGTGCAGAGTTTACATTTTTTTTACGCGCATAGACATTCTAATAGATGTTAAAAAAAAAAAAAAAACACACAAGCTTCAACGATATTGTACAATCAAAATCAGTTTTGAAATCAAGAAGTTTATTTAGCTACATTTCGATGAAATTACCAGGTGCAAAAAAGGAAGTGAAAAATAATCCATTTTTCTATGCGGTTCTATACCGGTAAAGTAATAACATTCAAACATTAAACACCATAAGTACAAGGATCATTGAAAACTCTCAATGTTTCAAAACAATTTCACCCATCAAAGAGAATATTTTTTATCATCAATGTTTTCTCTTAATATAGGTCAGTCGGTGAGAGAGTACAAAAACTCACCGTATATTAAGAGGAAACTCAAGAACGAGAAAAAAGACCTAAACATTCAGATCTCTGAAGCCGTGGTGAGGAAAAACGACGTATGAACATTCCAACGTTGCCAAATTCCCCGCGATAATACATTCATTTTCGAGGAAAAATATTAGGGGTTTTTCTTTAGATTGTCAGATGCGCCAGAGAAAATTGCGCACAGAATTCTGTAAAAATTTCAATGTAGGCAAAATCCATAATTCAACAGTAAATTCGTTTTTATGAGGAACAATAAGACAACGTCTAGATTTTCATACGACGTTTTTCCCTTACGCACGGTGGTATGATGCAAGAGTTAACACTACGCCGAGTCTGAAGACGGTAGAAGAAATGGGGGGGGACCTGCCGATAAGTTCGAATATCAAGTAGTTAAGTATGAGAGCCAGTTGAGGGACATTGAATGGACGTCCAAACCCGGTGGAGGTAATCAGACGTGAGTTTTACAAACCACATTGAAAGGATCTTGTTAATTTGAATTAGAAAAAAAGGAAAGATTTATACGACTGACTCGCCCCTTCCCCCCCCCCCCTACGGTGTCCTGTTTGTGACGCAACGTTGCAAGCTGGTGCAAACGATGACGTGACAGCCATGCTTAATGTGACGTTTCAATGAGCAGGGCCCGGTGCACCCGCGTTTGTTCCAGCCATCGATGGCTCTTAGAAATGTCTAAAATCAGTCAAATACTTCCCTATTACCGCGCCGGCCTTATCTACGATTGGAGATCGCCGTCAGGGGCTCTTCGTTTAGTTTTGGAATTGACAATGCGTCCGAGGATTTTAAGAGTCCGGCAATGGCAGTGCTTTCAGGTTACTTGGAAAGCTCCAGCTGATCTGCCTATAAAAGTAATGATGTGGACTTTCGCTACAAAAAGTAATCGCACAACGGTTTTCGGATTTTTAGACTTCAGGCTGCGTCATTTTCTTCATAGAATTGGACTGCATTTTGCAATTTGGAACTATAAATTCGGGCTCTTCTGGAAAAACACTTATGGGCATAAGGAAACTAATGGCACATACGTTGTTTTTAAACCGGGCTAGAATGTATAGTTCCAAATTGCAAGATGTAGTCCAATTCATCATCATCATCACATTAATCTCCCGGGACCAACGTCTCGTTTAATAACATTTAGAGAACCACAAAAAACCTCTTTTTTTGGGGGGGGGGAGGGTAATAAGTATTTTATTTCCTACTCTTGGATTACGACTCAATAAAAGTATGGTTACGATGTCTGTACATGGCAAAAAAGGATAAAATGAATTTGTGCCTTCTGTTGCTGGGTTTTAGCTAAGTACTTTGGGGGTAGCAGTATTATTCCGCCTAAGTTCTGCGCTTGTTGATTAAAATGGCGCTCATTCGTACTAATTCTAATCTAAACTTAACAATTATTTGTTTTGTATCTAAAAAAACAGCCACGAAAGAATGAGAAACATATCACTTTAATGTCCGTCTTGCCGAACCAATGAAAATGAAGTACGTAATGAAACAAATTGAAACATACACGATTTGAAAAGGAAGCGCGCAATGACGGCGCGGAGATACAACTATTTGAACTTAATGGATGTCCGTGTTGCATATATGCAAAATTGAAGGCGCGATGGCACCAGGCGTGAACGCGCAATGCTCCCGCTACATGTTGCTGATGATAGGTCGTTCTTATTCGAGAGAAAATTAAAAGACGAGGCAGAATCACGTTTCTCCCATCCTCGACGGAATTGATCACGCATCATTTGGAGCTCCACAACAAATGAAACAATTGGAAAAAAAAAACACAAGACGGAAAATGAACAAAGGCAAGGAAGCGCGTTTATTACGGCGCAGAGATACAACTATTTGAACTTGATGGATGTCCGTGTTGCATATATGCAAAATTGAAGGCGCGATGGCGCGAGGCGTGAACGTGCAATGTTCCGCTCCATGTTGCTGATGAAATGTCGTACTAATTTGAGAGAAAATTGAATCAGTGAGAACGAAAACACACCAACTCGAAAAAATGAAAATAATCAAGACACGCACATAACTGCATATTAGGTGAAGAAGTTAGTCTAAGAAAAATATTTTTGGTGCCTAAAAGCAGGTAGTTAAGGAAACTTTAAATGTCCAAGTTGGCACAGATACAATTACTTCAATGACCTTTATGAATATTGTCTGTCCTTAGTGAAAAGAGAGCATTTTCGAGGTACCGAGTTGGTGCGTTTTCGTTCTCACTGATTCAATTGCAAAAGGTAGTCCAATTCTATGTAAGTGAGAATCCCTACAGTAACGTCACGTTTGATAGCGTCCAGTGGCGAGACGTGAACGATCGATTATCGATATTTCCCCATTCATAACTATGGTAAAGAATCGATTATTGAGGTGTTCGTTGCGGACACCCTGTTCATCGATCCTTTCCCATAAGTTTAAATGGCGGATCAATATATTGTATATCGCAAAGCACGCCAAGCCACTTATAGCACCTATACTGCCGTGCTAAGGAAGAACGCCGTATGAACATTTCAGAGTTACCAAATTTACTTCGATAAAATGTTTAATTTTGAGAAAATTTATGAATTTACTTCCTTTAAATTTTCAGAATCCTTAGGTTTTATGAACAAAATCATCTGACAAATAGGGAAGAAAATATTCATTTTACCAGAAAATTCGCGTTTTAAGAAAGGAAATTTGGCAACGCCAGAAGGTTCATACGGCGTTCTTCCTTAGCACGGCAGTATAGGGCGGAAGATGCTCAACCGAAATGAGAATCACAAAATGATACAGCCCCAGCCTCGCGCTGCGGAGACCGGCGAGAGACGGTCCCGGGGGCCGGACCACAACTCAGAGGCGACGCCGGCGTCTGCGCGGCGGCGGCACCTGCCGACGACCGACAACCAACAGCCGCGGGAGCTCTCGGCGGCGATCGAAGGGGGCGGAGCCGGCCGCCGCCCCTCCCCCAACCCTCGCCCCGCCCGCGCCTCCCGGGGAAAAGCCGAGGAAAATAAAATCAAAGCGCGCGGAGCGCGCGGGGAGAGGGAAAGGAGAAAAAAGGGAAAAAACGTCTGCGCGGAAAAAAGTAAAAAGCGCGCGATGACAACAGGAGCGCACGCGCCAACCCTTGCCTCGCCCCTCGCGCGCTGTCCCGTGCTCCCCGGTTCCGCGGGCCAGTTTTTTCGGGATTTCCATTTTGGGCCGTAAATGCTCCGCCGCCGCGCTCCGCGTTTTTATCCCGAGGGACTCCCGCGTCGCGCGCTCCCGATTATTGATCAGTTCGCGCGCGCCTCCTCGAACCGCGGCGTGCGCCAAGTTTTCGGGAAGGAGAAGAAGAAGAAGAGCGGTAATTAATCGAGTCGCCGTGCGTTTCCGGTTTGCTCGGCCGAACTCGACCGGTGTGAAATGCGCGTGACTTAACCTTCAATTTTTGAGATCAATCTTTCGGGCGCATCGGTGATCGAGTGGTCTGGGTTTCAGTGCTAAAAATTACGATTTTTTTCCTCTTTTTTTTCAGTGAATTACTACATCGAACTTGGCCAGTCCTCATTTCCGGTGTGAAATAAATGACTTAACCTCAAATGTCTGCGGAATAAATCTTCGGAGCGCATCGTCAGCCAATGATCTGAATATCAGTGCCGAAAATTTCGATTTTGTTTTCTTTTTTTCCCCTCGGTGGATCAAACCGACGACATCGAACTTGGCCAGTTTTCGCTTCCGTTGTGAGATAAATGACTTAACCTCAAAGTTTGACGGAATAAATCTTTGAATTGCAGTGATACGAAACAAGTGATCTTATTATCAGTGATAAAAATCCCAACATTTTTTCTTTAAGCCAAATTTACTATACCAAACTTGCCCGGTCGGAGTTTGGTGTAAAATACTTCAAACTTGACCTTCAGTGTTACAATTCAAAGCACGAAATCTGAAGAATACTTAAAATTAAAGTGATCTGATCAAGTGTTTTCCTGCGCTCGCTTACGCTTTTACCGATTTGTGAGAATTTTTATTTTTTTAATTTTTATTTTTTTACTCATTTGTCTATTCATTTATTTTATTCTTTCACCGAAAAGTAACTCTTCCAACTTACGAAAAAAATTCCTCTCAACGTGGTTTTATGACGGTCCTCGCGCGTACTTGTGGATAATTATTCCTAAAGAATGCGGTGCCCATCTTGAATCGCGGGCGTATTGCTAAACGGATCGAGTTTTTTTTCGCGTGTATGTTGGGTATTTTTGGCAGGCATGTCTTAACAATGGAATCCAACATGGACGCAAAAGTTCCCTGCTCCACCGCACGAGAGAATTCACTGTCACACCCCTGAAAAATTTAATGGCTTCTATTCCTCCGATGAAGGTAAATTTTTTGACGTGTCTTTTGCATGACCTCAACCCCACTCGGAGAGCTGCTGAACAAAATTAATTTGTATTACTTTTTCACCTCAAAAGCATGCTGAATCATGGTATGCATGCATAACCTTCAATGATCATCAACTGTGTCATGGTGGTGAGGTAGAAAAATCCAGTGTACTTATGCATGCATCATTGAAAATACAAGTATTCAAGTTAAAATTATTAATCATATTGAGTTGATTCCCTGTTGGTAAGGAGGGGGGGGGTGATAAAAGAAAGAAAATTGATGGAAAACTCTCAGAAGAGAGTTACACATTTAAAATTAATAATTGGCTTATAACTCTCTGATATTCTTAATTTAATATGTTCTTTCGAAAAAAGAACTTTATTTCGTAAGCTTTATTTATGAATGAGCCATCTTAAGTGCATACTGCATAGACATACCTGCAAACCAGCACTAATATGAAAAACGCACTTGCTCCCTTTTGAAAACAACTGCATGATCCATTAACTTTGAAGTTTGAACTTCTTCTTCCTTCTTGTATGTAAAAGCTATCGTACGGTGATTATAGTCTATTTATACATACCTTGTTCAAACAATATATTTTAATGTGCGGAAAACATCTCGGCAAGATGATGAATTTCGGCGTGTTTATTAACAATGATTGATTGCATTATACGCTCCTGCAATGGTAGGGTAACTAGTTATATATGACACTCCTTTTCCCATCCCTCTTATGGAACAGGAGGTAGGAAGGGGAGAGCTTGTGAATGTCGCTCTGATTTTACACAGCTATGCGGTTTTTTTAAATTTTACGATCTCGGTCCAAAGTAGGAGGTATAAATTTGAGATCACTGACCGTTATTATATTTTCTTTTTTCGATACCTTAAAGCATAATGTGAGAAATATCATAAATTTTTACCTCCGTCTCCTCTCAAAACAATTTTGTGGTAATTATCTGCAATTTAAAGATTTCTCACCTCAAATACAGGGGCGTGGATGCCCCAATAAAACAGCATTCCGCTTTACACTTTTTGCAAGTGGCGCTGAACTGAAGCTAACGAAAAAATCCTCTAAATGTGTTATTACAAGAATTACTTTTTTTTATCATGTGCGAGTATTCCTCTTCTGTGTATGTCTCCTACAAAATGTAGCGCATGATCCGGTATGTATGACAAGGAAAACGCAACCATATTCGAAAAGAGGTAGAAGAAAAACTCTACAGTATACTAAGTTAAATTCGTGTAGCTTCATCAAAACTATTAGAAAATTTGAGGAAATAGAACGCATGTTATTCTATTGTTTTGGAAACCGTGGTCTCTACTGGAGTTATTTCAGTATTGAAATAAATCTTCGTACACTGAAAGATAGCAGGGTTATGGTTACCACAAAGTACCTCTCGGGCAGCACAATTCATTTGTAGTAATATTAACAATTAATCGTGATAATTATACGTGGAGCTTGAAACTATAATTGAATTTGTTTTTATATCCACAAGAAAGGCAATTTATTTGATGTGAACAATATTTCAAAGAAATTAATTCTCTTCAACCGCATTGACAATGTTTTACGCAGGACTTATGTACTCAAATCTTTTGACATATTTTAAGGGCAAAAGAAGGAAAATTTTAAAAAAAAACTTTTAATTTTCATCTCCCTACACTTTTGGAAAATGTAGGCAACATCATTCGTTCATATTTCTACTCCGCTATTGAATTCGAACTCTGTCGAACTTGCAGAAGTAGTATCCTGCTGATACGCCATGGGCGAAACGGTGTTTCGCCTTCAATTCTTGAGATAGGCACATGCGGGGACTTGGGAGTCGCAATAGTGGTATCAAAATATCCGCAAGTACAGGAAGAACTATGCGAGCATTTGGGCATCGCCAAAAGTCGCCAAAAGTAAATGTCGATTTTTTTTTAAATTTCATTTATTTATTTTTTGTGATTTAATGCTGTTTGGACCAAATTTCAATTCACGAGAATGACGTACAGAGAATAGTAAATGATTTGCAAAAGTTTGATCATGGTTTTATAAAATAAATTAAGTTGTATCACTTTACACCCTTTGCAGTTACGCGAATACACAATTTCTTTCTTCTTCCCATTGAGAACAAAAGATTGATGTCATGATAAATAGAGGATTACAGACATTAAACCGAAAATTATGAAACATTTCTGTCATTCTTGATTCATTTAGAGGGTAAGTTGTATTCAATCATACTTTCCAGTTTATACGGGGGAAAAAAGAAAAAAAATTAGACGTTGAATAATTTTGCGAGCTGCTCCACCGCAGTGCCATGAAGACTGACAGATCATTTCTTTCTAATACATGATTTTTAAACACAAAACGAGGTTTTGCTGCTCCCGAAATAAATCAACTTTTGAATACATACCATGCACCATGAACGTCTTTTTTCAAAACAAACTCTCCTCACATTCCTTTGGGAAAGTTGTTGAAAGTAATTCACGTTGGCAAGAAAAAAATATTTTAAAAAAAACTTGCAGGCAATACTGGTATTAACTCGTGGCAAAGATAAGTGGACCGCGTTAAACAGAAAGGCACCAAGCCACATCAGCTTTTGCCAAATTTAACTGGGCAATTTAATCTTTTACATAAGAACGGTTGTGCGGATTTTCTTGCAAATTTCAGTGAATTTTCTCCACAGTACGAAGCAAATTCCCTAAAATTTTCAAAGGAATCTCTACGAACGTTCTCTTGTAAAAAATTAAATTTCTCGATTAAATGTGGCAATATCTGATGTGGCTTGGTTCCTTTCTGCTAAACGCGGTCCAAGTGTCGTATGGTCTCTTCAAAATTTCACCACACCAGTTAAAATTACTTGCGTCTCTCCTCCTCAAATTTGACGAAACCGTACGATTAAATTTGGTGGTCTTTGCACTCTCCATCATTGTCGAATGATGAAGGCGAGAAGCGTAAGCTAGTATTGTGCGGATAATAACCACGTAAGAAAATAATGACCATCTAAATTCTGTCGAGTCACATTTATTAACTGACCGCAACTTTTGTGCACACAGGTAAAACCCAATACCTCTCAGACATCTTGCTAGAGGGCATCCAAAATTGTAGAGGTCCACTAGAACCATCGAGTCAGTATGTTGCGCATGTAAAAAATAGACGAACGTACACTATGAATACGAGTAAATTATCTATACATATCTTGCATTTAAACATTGTAATTTTTTCTTCCTTTTTTACAGAGATAAGCCGGTAAGCTTTGAACGATCCTTGAATTTGATAAGAGACTGTATTCCACTCTTTCGACCCCTTAAAAATTTGTTTGATTTTGGGATCTCGAATTACATATATTGAATTGTAATTTTTTTCCGCGCCTGCTGAATAGTCGACAATGTATAGAATGGGAATTAACTGTGCATCAGTGTAACTTTCAAAATTATGAACTGGAAGAAATAACAAAACAAGGAGAGTAATTTTTACTTTTATCTTCCAAAATTTTTCAAATTTTTTTCTTGAACAGTTTTGTTGTTCAGCAAAGCGTTTCTATGGATTTTGGGTGTTTTCTTGGCAAGAAGATTAATTTCGTTTCAATTTCGTGCAACACAAAAAAAGGAGGCGGAACAAAAGGAAAATTTTTTACAAAATCAAATGGGGGGGAAAAAAAAAAAAAACACTCCCTTGGTTGCGGTGTTTCACAAGTTCTGCATGCCCACATTTTATCTTCTCTTCCGGAGGCATTATCTACCAGATATTCTGGCGAGAAATTTTACGAGTAAATTCTTGAAAGGGGTCATCCTATGAAATTTTGATCGGAAGATGGCCGATAGTCTTTGAAAAGAGTGAATACATAACAATAAATCTACAATGTCACAGAAAACTGTCAGTGTGCATTTTTTAACTCATCTTTCAAAATGTAAGCTTTCACATAAGAACCCGTTCTTTCCAAATTTAGTCGAAAAATTCGTTCACCTCTGCAGGATGACGACCTCTTCACTGTAAGAAAAGTAAAAGTAAACAACCGAGGCAGAGATTGTAAAACTCCAAACAAACTGGATCCCCGCAACGGACGTGCGACTTCCGTTTCGGGCGGAAAAGCGGGCTCTCAGATGTCAAAAAGTTCCCACGAGGAACCGGTCATCAATTAAAGTTTAAAAGATTCTGTTCTGACCTCTTATGGAAACAAGTTTCGGTAAATTATTGTCTGAAGAGCGGCCGGGTCTGCAGCGAGGAAGAAGAGGAAACGAGAAAAAAATGAGACGAAACTTACTCAAAACCAGCCAAAGTATCTTCCGCCGAATCCGTCTGTCTCAGGCGAGAGAGCTAATCAATTCTTGATTGGCATGATAAATTAGGATCAATCAAACCGGTCATCCGTTTCATTCATCCTTTTCCCCGTCTCTGCATACTCAGCAAATGCAGTCGAAGTGGCGTCAGAAAAAAGGCACCTTTTTTTATTCATTTTTATATCAAATTGCACTTGATATTTTACCCTACGATGAAGCAGCGGACAGAATGACGATACACTATGACACATCCAAGGCTAAAGTTCGAAACCACCTAAGTCCGTTCGTGGCGTTGCAGACTGCCGGTCATACTTTTTTTTTCCTTTTTTTGTAATAAATTAAAAAATAATATGGGACGAGGAATAAGAAGAGGTCATTTTCTCACTCACAATTAGACAAATCTTCAAAAACTTGACCACATACTTTTTAAGCAAAACTTATCTCAAATGAAACATAACAAAAAAAGGGGGTGCAGAGCAACCATATATTAATTTCTCTTCATTGTTTTCCCTTCTCAAGTGTTCTGGCACAGTCAATTTTTAGTGGCGTGGTGTGCTTAGCGATATATCGATTGATCTGCCATTTAAACCTATGAAAAAGGATCGATTGACAGGATGTTTGCAACGGAAACCTCTATAATCGATTCTTTACCACAGCTTCAAATGAGGAATTATCGAAATCGATCATTCACGCCTAGCCACTGTTCTCTTATTATGGACAACGCTGAGCGCAGAAGTAAC